TAACATTTCTTAGTTAATAAATGCAACGTAAATAAGTGAAGTAAAGTCATTCTGTGGAACCTTCAGGCACAGAAACAATTCCATGGAGACAAGCAGGTGACAGACCCTCTGCACCTTTAAGAGCCACCCATCCAAGTTCCAGGTCTGAGAGGTAATCCAGTCAGAGTAAAAATGCCTCTTTTTAAAGCACTATCAAGTAATAAAAACACCTGTAATTAGATGTATTTTAGAAATGTTTATTTAATCTCCATGGAAACAAGCAGGTGACTGACGCATTAGCAGAAAAATTGCATAGTGCACCTTTAATCAAACTTCAAAGGTACTCACTGTATTTCTGACATTATTGTTATTGTCTGTGTCTCTCATAGTCCTCCTGAGTCACGTGTGTCCTCACCTCTCACAGTTTGCTCTGAGATTTTCCTGCTTTAATAACGCTTTTGTCACGCTGTGCCTGTGTCCTTCAGACCAGTCAACCAGGCTTTGTCCTTTACTCCTCCGTCTCCTCTTGCAGATCTGATGTTGCTTTTGTTTATTTATGCAGCTTTCATCTCTGTCAGAGTCATGCTGGTATGCATTAAAGGTCTGTACCTGATTTTTGTCCTTGTATTTGAGCAACATTTGTTTTGCCCCAGTACAGATATATTGTATAAGCAGCTCTTGGGGTCAAAATAAGTCAACTGCGTACTGTCTGGATCTAATTATGAAGCTTTTTATTGAGCGAGAATCAATGAGTGTGTGGTTAGCATGCTAGTTGTTGTTAGCGTTATCATAACCGCAATAATTGTGGATAACTGTGAATAATTAGGATGCTGGGATTTTCAAATCAGTAAAAAGACAGTCAAAAAACAGGTAGAGCACCATAAATGAGGAAAGCATTACTTTATAAATGTCACAGAACAGCCGTGACAATCATCCCCACAGTAGCTGTCTTCATATGCATTTGAACAGCACTTCACATTGGCTACAGCTGAAAAGCCCAGTCAAAAGTGGTCCCAGAATTGCTCTTTGTGGAAGTAAAAAAACATGAGTGCTGGGAATGGGAGCACAGCATGAAAAGGCAAAGTGCGGTGAGGTCAGCGCGTCCTGTTTTTGAACAAACTCATCTCTCCACAGATGGCTGCTAACGTAACCCAATATTCCACAGAACATGGTGTGTCTATGGTTATACAAGGATTTTCTATTGTCAAATGAATACAAGGAGGTCTTCCTGTTTTTGATGAACAATTTAGAGAACACGGAAATGGTTTACTGTCAAAAACATACAATAGTTACTAGAAAACATGTTCACAGTATGTCTCTGTAGGCAGTTACTGTAAAAATATATCAGTTACAGTTAAGCTTTTCCTATTTCCCCTGTAATCTGTGTTGTCATGAAAGTCTACTAAAATAAGAATATTAATGCAACAAAAAATGTGTAACAAACGTAACACCTTTACAGCGTGCAGTAAATCTTATAACTGAGAAACACTGTTAGAATACTGTATTACTATGTATAAAACAATGTGTGCATGATTTACCTTTGATAAGCAATAGTTTGTAGCGATGGGATATATTGTCAAAGTGCAGCATAGTTAAGAGCATGTAATAAATAATACTCCTGAATAGCTCCAATGTCAGAGTAATATGGAAGCATCAAACTACTAGCCAGACTGGCGCCACCTAGTGCCTCTGCTCAATTTCATTTCTCTCCAGCAACTAGGTCAAGAATCGGAATACACTAGATGATTCGCAAAAACCCTGGAAGTGCAAGTTTGGGCACCAGCCAGTCAGCGAAGAGCCATACATTCTGTGTTGTCAACGATTCCCGAGATCGAGGATTTAACGGTGGAATAAAAAGAATGTTTGGTGAATTTTATCAAAGGGAAAGACGTTATTGCTCTTCTTCCTACAGGATTTGGGAAAAGCTTAATATACCAGTTAGCCCCATTTGCGGCGCATTACATATGCCACGACCAAATAGCAGCAATTGGTTAAATGAAAAAAGTACCCGCCTACAATTGAGCGAACGAATTCTAACACTGCGAGGTCAGACGGTTTCTACGAAGTGAAACCGGATGATGAATCAGGCTATCAAACCTGAAGCTGTTCGTAAAGGTACACTGTGTAACTTTTCTGGTTGGGGTTTTTCCACCTGTTTGTTTTCTTGGAGATGTGAGATTGTTGTCGGCATGGAATTAAACATCCATCTGTATTTATTCATTTACAGATGTATTTATTGCTCTAAAATACAGTAAAAAACATGCATTATGTGAGTGGGGTTACCTGACCTGTGACTTGGTTTGGTGGTAGCGCCACCTGCAAATGTTTAATGCCATACTCTGGAACATTCTTAACAAACCAAAAACATATCCATGGAGACGAGCAAGTAGTGAATCCCCAACCAGAAAAGTTACATAGTGCAAATTTAAGACAAAGAAAAAGACGTCCCAGTACTATAAACCTAAAGAGATCAAATGAAATATTTCTGATTAGTTTATATCTTGTGTCTTTGGTTTTTGTTCCTGGTTATTACAGTTGAAGATTTGCTGCGCGCTGCAATGCTCCTGATGAGAGGTGACCTGACAGACTGTCACATGTGACTTATCCCACACTGGCCATCACTGCCCCACCAGACCCCACTCTCCTCTCCCCCATCCCCTATCTCCCAGCATAGAGCAGCCCCATTTAAGAGCATTCATGCACTTTATACTGGGGCCAACTGCTGCCAAAGTCATACAATAAGAGTGTGAGTGCGACCAATAGCCACTCAGGTGGAAAATTGCACTACCCAATCAATTACAGATAGAAAGTCTTTCTTTAAAAATCATAAGAGCAGACATTGTAGCTTCTTCTTGTGTGCTAGACAAACAGTGGGCTGCTTGCTAATGATTGTTGTCATGTTGAGGCTAATAAAGTTTAATTGAACTGTGCTTTAAAGGGCACGTATTTATGACAGAGGGCACTGACAGAGAATAAATAAGCCGTTAATAAGAAAATAACATTGCGGATTGTAATTATTTCAAATGTGGGTTTTTCCTCTCTCTGCAAGAATATAATCTGTTTCAGCATTTTCCCCTATTTGGTTTCATAGGATTTGATTGTGGCTCATTTGAATAAACGTTTTGCTGTGTATTAGTCGGGGTAATGAAGTGGATCTCAATGGGAAAAGTCTTTTGTGTGAGAGCAGTCTGCAGAGGCTCAGAGCAGAGGCACAGTGGTCAGTTCAGCTGCAGGAATACAAGTTTGAAACAGATCTGATCAAATCTAAAATGTGTTTCTGACTAAGTTTGAAGGAAATACACAGCAAATTCAAAAGTGTTAAATTCACGGTGTTGGTGTTGTTGTGAGTAAAGTGAAGAAAATCCAGAAATGTTTCAACATAGTCAAGCGTTATTTCAACTATGACAGTGCTGTAGAGTAAACTCAGTACAGTCCCTGACAAAAGTCTTGTCGCTTATCCATTTTGTAGAAACAAAAGCTTATAACCTGACTTTAAATTAATCGATTGGTTTTAGAAATGTCTCATATGAAACCTAAAACCCTCCCAAATTATGCTCAATATACTAAAATAAATTTGCTTCACTGAAGAAAGATTGATCATTTAATGAACACAGAAAGATCAGATTTTGGCAAGACAAAAGTCTTGTCGCCTTGTCATATGATGCACCCAATCCTAGATTACAGCCTCACCTGTGATCAGTTACTGATCAATCAATTAGTGGGTGTGTATAAAAAGAAGCCCAGCACACCAGACCTTCACATCAACTGCAACTTGACCTCTGACAACATGCCTAAGATCCACCCTGAGACCAAAGCGTTAATTATCAAGAGGCTGAAGACCAGATCCACTGCTGAGGTGGCTGACACCTTCAATGTGTCTCAGCGTCAAGTACAAAGAATAAGAAAAAGATCTGAAATGACTGGAGATGTTTTTGACAAGCCCAGGTCCGGCAGACCCCGCAAGACAACTGCTCGGGAGGACCGTTTGTTGATTCGAAAATCCAAGGCCAGCCCCTTTTCCACTGCAGCAGACTCCACCAGGCCTGGTCACCTCAAGTCCCTGTGTCAACCACAACAGTTTGTAGAATTCTGTCTCGAAATGGCCTCCATGGTCGAATCAGTGCACAGAAACCAGCACTAAACAAAAGGCAATTAAAAAAACGTGTGGCGTTTGCCAAGGCCCACAGCCTGCTAAAAGGATGGACACTGGAAAAGTGGCAGAAGGTGGATTTCTCAGATAAATCCTCGGTTGAATTACATCACAGCCACCGCAAATATTGCAGGAGACCTACTGGAGCCCGCATGGATCCAAGATTCACCCAGAAAACAGTTAAGTTTGGTGGCAGAAAAATTATGGTCTGGGGTTCCATCCAGTATGGAGGGTGTGCGAAACATTTGCAGGGTGGAAGGCAAATATCAATAGCCTAAAATATCAAGAAGTATTAGCTCCTCTTACATTCCCAACCATAAAAGGGGTCAAATTTTGCAGCAGGATGGTGCTCCATTGCATACTTCTAT